CACTTTTGTTACTTCTCAAACCACTCCCTCTGGCATTTTGCCAGGCACCATCCAAACTTGTTTACGAACTCTAACATTTCCCTGGCAAAATACCAGGTGTTATTTTGACTTGTCTACAGACCTTAACGATATCGGAGCCTTTAATGAATTAATATGTGATTAGAAGGGGAGGGCATGGTATTCAGTATCTTCTGAATGTATTTGACACACAGTCTCTTGGTCTTAAGAGACTGGAACTCTTGGAAATGCTCTGGGTAATACCCACCCATGGACCTCTGAAGGATCAGAACCCTCCATAGGACTAAGGTTCCAGGCCCTAGAGAAGCCTGAGGACCTACTTGTGAGATCCACTTCCCTTCCCTCAGGTTCAACATTGGTGGCCCCACCTCCTCCATTGCTGCCCTGTGCTCCTACTTCTTTGACGAAGGCCCTCCAGTTCTGCTTGACAAGATCTACAGCAGGCCCAATGACTCTGTCAGTGAACTCTGGACCCACACTCGTCTTGCAGGTGCGTGAAGACCTCCCCTTCCTGTTCTCATTCTAGAAGCTTCTGGAAAATCAGGGAAGGACCCCTTGACAGTAGGTAAAATTCACAGTAACTGGAAGAACGTAAAGCTGCTGTCCTGATCTCATGCACTTGGTGCTATGACCTTGAATCTCAGCAAAACACATACTGTTTTCTCTAGAGGAGAAAATGAGGTCAACTGGATTGAATATCTTGTCAGAGTTCACTCAGTTAAAAGTGAAAGAGCCAAAATGAGAATGTTCAGGCAGACCCTGAGCATTATAGAACAATAATTCTCAAAGGCCCCTTCCTGAATAGACGGCTTCCTCCCTCTCCCCTACCTAGCATTCAGAACTAGGAAACCGTTCCCCCATCTCGCAAGAGGACATTGGAGGCCAATGGGGCTAGGTCTATGACCAGAAAAGCAGCCTACCATTTTCTTCCTGCACTTCCTTATTATACATGCATTTCACCATCGCTTCTGGAATACAGATCTAATCATATTTCAAGTTGTAAATCAATATCAGAACCCGATAAATTCTAAATTCAAACAGACATTCGAGACCAGGAGTTAAAACAGACTCAGATCTGAAGATCGTAAGATCCTAGAACTTCAAAGTCCATTAGGAGAGCCAAGAGCTGAACACTTTCAATGTGGCTCATCACCAGATTTAGAAAACCTATTAGGGGAGGCTGGGGGGGGGGTCGGAGGATGAAAGAAAGTGAAAAACTCCATTGATACATTTGATTGCCTACATGTTATGGATATATTAGATAAAACAAATCATAATTTAAATTGACTTTATCTAATTTCTTTTTCTCTTATTTACCAGGGCAACTAGAAAACTTAAAATAACATCAGTAGCTTGTATTCTGAGTTGTGTGACCTTCCTATTGGACAGCATTGTCCTGGAAGGGTATCCTTGTTCATCCACAAATTTGGTTCTTCTCAGGGTCCAACCCAGGGAGCTTCAGGGAGAGAAAGCACCAGGTCCTCAGGAGGTTGAGGCTTTCCCATCATCACCCGCCTGGGGGGTTCACAGGCACTTGTGTACTTGTGATTGGGTACACACACTCTTGTCTCCATTTTACAGATGTAGAACTGAGGCTCAGAGAGGTGAGTGGCTTGCTTGGAGACACAGGGCACAGGACTAGATCCTAGGCCCTCCTCACTGCTGGCTCAGGGAAGACAGAAAAGGCAGGTGCCCAACAGCCTGACTTGAGTCCCCATCCTGAAGGGCTTTCTGTCTTCCAGGTGAACGCTACGGCTCCAAAAAAAGTGTGATCATCCTGACCAGTGGTTTAACAGCTGGTGCTGCGGAGGAATTTACCTACATAATGAAGAGGCTGGGCCGGGCCCTGGTCATCGGGGAAGTGACCAGTGGGGGTTGCCAGCCACCACAGACCTACCATGTGGACGACACCCACCTCTACATCACCATCCCCACAGCCCGCTCTGTGGGAGCTGCAGATGGCAGCTCCTGGGAGGGTGTAGGCGTGACACCCCATGTGCTGGTGCCTGCAGACCTGGCCCTAACCAGAGCCAAGGAGAGGCTCCAGCACATCCTGAAAGGGTGAGGTGGAGCTGGGGTCTGTGGGAGGGCCCCCACGGACAGAGCTCTGGGTGGGCAAGAACTCTGGGTCTGCCTGAGGCTCCAGGGGCAGCTCAGAGACCTGCTGAGTTCTGGTTAGTCTTAGAGTTGGAGGAACCTTTAGGGCTCATCTATCTGACCTCCTCATCACTGCACCAATCCTCTCTGCTTAGATTCTGCCCCCGACCCCCCGCGCTACCACCCATGGAAAGCTCACCCCTTTTACAGGCAAGTCCAGATCCATTCTCTCACCCGGCTTCCCAATYCCTGTACCTTGGTCTTCATGCTGTCACCAAGAGCAGCCTCACCAGCAGAATACACGAATCACAGATGAAAGATATACACATTTCCTGGTAGCCACATTTTTAAAAAGTAAAAAGAAGCAGGTGATTAATTGTAACTGTATTCTAATACTGCAGGTTCTCCTCCCTGTACGGTGGTTTATATCATGACAAGCAAAATGTGAGTCGAAAATATTGCAAGTTAAAATGCATCTAATGTCCAGATAAACCTATTACAAAGAAAAAAAAAACATAAGTGGAACCGTAGTAAGTCAGAGACCATCTACATATTTTACTTAATCCACTATATCCAGGGTGGTATGGATTTACCACATAATTAATATAGAAATGATACTGAATATGATGTTTTTGTACAAGGTCTTTGAAATGTGGTAGGTAGTTTGTACTTATAGGACCTCTCCAGGTTTCTAGTGCTCAGCTTGTGACTCCCTTGTGGGATGACACAAGCCATAAGCTTAGGAGCCTGGCTCCTGCTGCACACTGTCTGTGCTAGAGTAAGGGAGGCCACGGCCAGCGTCTTGTTGTGGGGGTTCTTCTTCCTGCTGAGGAGGATGTAAGCCACCTGAGAAATAAAAGTCTAGAATAATTAGTTAAGAACAAAAAACGTGGAGTCAGAAATATCTTTCCAAAGCCCCTGATAGGTTTAGTCCACAGGGGTGCTGGACCTAGACAAAGGAAAGATGGCTTCCGGTGGTTTATTTAAGGGGGTACATCAAAAGCCGGGATAAGGTTTCAAGGGTGGAGTCTTGATGTCTTGCAGTCAGCAGGTTGATTGGCATCTTGGCAGGTCACACCCATCTCAGGTGTGGGATAGGAATTCACAATGTCCCTGGGTAATTGACCAGAGGAAATATCACTGGTCATTCCCAGACACCAGATGTTTCTATCCACGAGGCTTCGATGCATGATGACCCCCACACAATCCATGGATGGCTCGTGACATTAGAGCACCTCCCACACTGCTCAGAGGTCATTTTCTACTATGTAGCCCTCAGACTCAGGCAATGTCCTACTCAATCTTAGTCTCCTGATGCCTGGCAGCCAGCAGGGCATCTGGCAGAAGTGTCGGATAAACAACGATTACACGTGAATGTCAGGGTGCACAGAGAGCAAGACTACATTGCCCTCCACATGCATCCCTCAGACACTTAGACCCAGTGAGCCCAGGGAGGGATGTCGGGAGCTCAGGGGTGACCTGGGAAGATGACGCCCTTGGTGGTGTCTTAGGAGCTATACCACCCTGCCCTACTGGAGTGAGGAGGGACTCAGAAGTGAGAACTCTCCAAGGCCCTGCCCACATTCTGGTGGAGGTGAAGAAGAGGGTGGTGAGGAAAGTTCCAGCCCCCAGTCAATGCCTTGGGAGCTCAGGGCCCCAGGACTGCTCAGCGAGGGTAATGCACAGGTGTCATCAGGCCTTGACCTCAGGGTCAGGTCAGACTCCAGCAGCGCAGGCTCTGCTAGACCAACAAACCTCCCCCTAGACAGTTTCTCCCAGTGCACCAGGAACAACCCTGCTTCCCTAACTCCTTCCAGAGACCCCCAAGGGATATGGAATCTGGGCAAATCACCAAGCCAAGCCCCTCACTAATACTTCAGGGATTTCCATAGGGCAACTATAAAACTCACCCTCTTTATACTCTGTCCATTCTAAGACAAGATTTCATGGAAGTTCCTTGTTCTACCTTCAGATAAGATTAAGTGTAACAGTTGATTCTTAGTAGTAATGTGTATAATATGATCTCAATTTCTTCCTCACTAAACCTATGACTCTCCAGGTGAATGAGTGACTGCTCTACAGTATTTATGTACGTAAATTCTAGGGCTTCTCTCTCCTTCCTCCCCTTTCTGTTTTTCATATGTATAAGTGGCTCTCTGAAAATTAACTGAATTTCAGCAATGGCTCCTTCTAGAATTTGGGGTGGTATTTTTGCCTATCTTCGTAATACTTTGCTCCATTTCTTGAATCCTCATAATGAGCACATGTCATTATTTTCAGATGCAACAGTCATTATTCCAAAGACATTAAAATTAATGGTAAAACTGAGCCCCTGCTTGTAACATAGTGATCTCTAGTGGTGGTTACACGTATTCTTTTTGTGGATTTTCCTTTTGCATTGCTGAATTTCTTTGATTCACACTGCTGGCACTTATGGATAGTTGATTGGGTTTAAAAAGTGATGTCAAATGCTGTAGGGTTGGCAGAAGGCAAAGATCTCACAGATCTCAGTAGGGGGGGGCATGGAGCAGCTCTTCTCTGGGAATGTTCTCTCTTGGAGCTTCACACAGCATGGATGAGCATCATCATCCGGCAACCCGGGAGGCAGCTGAGATGCAGTCAAGCTTAGCAACTTATCCAATTTACCCAACATTACATAAGCAACACAGTGGACATTTGTCCTCCTTTAGGTCACACAGTATTTGCACCCTGTTTGATGTTCAGAGAATTGCTTTCCATTTGAGCCTGTGGGAAACAGACTTATTGAAAAGCAATGAAGTGGTTAGGAGCCCAGGTCAGCCTGCCTGGCTGGGAAGACCAGCATAGGTATTTTTTTAACTGTGTGATTTCGGGTATCTTATTTCACCTTTCTGGGCCTTAGTTTCCTCATATGTTCAATGGGATATCTAATACTATATTTGAGGCTGTGAAAATTAAATGAGTTAATCCAGTACTCAACTAATGTTAGCTATTATCATTTCCTGCAAAGCTGAACAGTCTGGAAGCCAATTTTCCAGCTTCCCCTATGGTAGAGTATGGGCATGAAGTTCTACCTTGGTCAGTCAGAGACTCCTGTGCAAGATGTTTATTCTGGAGCAAGTGATGGGGGAATCTGGGCAGCTAGAGACCCATGAGCAAGTGCTCTTGGTCAGGAGTTAGCCTTGCCTGTACCAGCAAGGAAGAGGTGACCTAGACCTTCAAGTGATTGCTGGAAGTTTGACCTAACCCCTAGCCCCTTGCTGGATAACAAATGTGGGGGGCAACAAAGCCATGTTCTGTCCGTAGCAAGGACAGCAGCCACATCCTCAATAGGCAGCTCCTGGTTGTGGCTTCAACTGTGACCCTGGCTGAGTAGTTCATTTTCCCTGCTACCACAGATGGGGATAGTCCAGGATCTTTACAGAAATCCCTTTCAGCTTCCATCACCTGAAGACTTTGTTTTGTTCCAATAACACAGTCTAGAGCAGCTGGATAAATGATGGGACCTGAACCAACAACTGTCTGGCCACAAAGATCCCGCGGTTGCTACCTAACATCATGAATAGGAGGCCTTGGGCCTGGTCTGCAAGGGGAATTCAGGGAGAGAGAAGCTAAAGGTGTTCTGCAGAATAAAGTAAAAGGTCAGCCTCCCTGCACACAAACCTTCTCATGTTGTTTCCTCCTTGGCCAGAGAAGACTAGGGGAAAAGAAGAAAATCCCATCAAATATCTCTGCTGCTGGCTCACTCAGCTGACCAATAGCTGCCCAGCAGTCTGCCATCCCCTCTCCCTTGTCAAGAGTCCTAGCTTGATGCCTAACCTCCCAGCCTCCTGCCCAATCTCAAGGCAACCAGGGGCTGGTTCTCACAGGAAGGCATTGTTCTGTGATGCAGATCCTACTGGAGGTCAGATTTATCTGTCTCTGGCAGATCTTGTGAAAAGGTAGGTCAGCCAAGATGCAGCAGGATTAGCAGGAGCAGCTCCCTTGACCTGGCATCCAGGGGTGCTGGTGTACCTCCCAGGAGTCCATTTGGCCCTGCTGTGTATCACTAATGGATTATAAAGGCCTTCAGGGGACTCAAAGCTAGCTTTATGGGGCAAGATAGGCCTTCTTTACTTTTCTCCATCAAAGCCCCAGGTCACACTCCAAGTAGCCAAACTTCAGGTTCAGTAGGTGGAGAAAGGAATACAGGGCATACTGGCCCCTCTTCCAGCTCTTCTGCCCCCTCCTCAGGGCAGATCCCGAGGATGCCAAGCCAGCCATAAGGGCAAGTAGTGGAGGCAGAGCAAGAAGTTCCAGAGATGATCCTGGGGACCAGACATAAGCCGCAGAGATGGGGAGTGGGCATGGTCTTCTCAAGGGCCAGGGTAACAGGGTGAATGGCCCTGCTCTGGGTGCTGGAGACCCATGGGCAAGTGCTCTTGGTCAGGAGTTAGCCATGACTGTACCATCAGGGAAAAGGTGACCTTGACTTTCCAGTGATTGCTAGATATTTGGCCTCACCTCCCTATTGCAGAAGAGGCCAGGGATCAGTGCCATGTGTTCCATCCAGAAAGGAAAAGGAAGGAGACACCTGGGAGACCTCCATAGGGCTCCTGTCTCTAGGCTGGGTAGGTGCCCAAGAGGAGAGGCCCCAGCACACACCCATCTCACTCACCCTCCTGATCCTGTGTCCCTGTGTCTGTCCCTGATACAAACAGGATCACCAAATGTCAACACACAATAGACGGCCACTTGTGTGTCAGCAAGTGCCCTGGCTACCCACGAAGTTCGATGGCAGTCCAAAGAAAGTGATAGGTCAAAATCCTACTCCAAGTCCCCACAAGAGGGCACCATCTCCCATCTCCTGGTTCTGTGGGATTTAGCGGCCACCTGGCCTAAGGACTACCTCTTGCTTTGCTAACCCAGGTGGCTAGAACGAAAATAGCCTCCTAATCCAAGCAGCTTAGAATGGCAAGGGGATCAGAGGCCAGGGGCCTCCTACCTAAG